AGCACTTTTAGCCGGAGGGAGAGCCAGGCTTCATAGGCAAACTTTGCTGTGCGGCGGCATGGGAGATACCTGACGACTACGCCCGCCACTCCACTGCACCTCATTCGCATAGACACAGCCATGGCTTCGGAGTTTATCGGTTGCACTGTGCTTGTGACCCTCAAGAGTCCTCCCAATTGCCGGATCAGAGGTGAGGTCGTTGATGTCGTAGGAACCAGGCTAAGTCTGCAGAATGGTGAGTGTTTTCCTCAGCCCTGTCACTTTCTGACCGGTCATGCTGATTGTTCGTCTAGCAATACTCTTATGGAATGGCCAGCATTTCCCTTTGTATCATATCGATGGTTCGAAAATCGCAGACCTAGAGATATCCAGTGAACCAGCTCCTCAAACACCAGTGCACCATAGAAATGGACACATCGACAACAGTGGATATCATTCCTCCTCCCAGCATGGCCAACCGCCACATCCTACAGCTTCAGCCCAATCTGAGTCTGTGTCCCACGGAGCTGGCGCTCCATCTTTCGTGGATCCGGCGATCTTGAGTTTCAAACGCCCATCTGCACAGGATGAACGCCAGAATGCAAACAGCGAGGTAGAGCCAGTGGCCATTCCGTCGCATACAATTTCCACTTCCCCTGTTATGCTGGGGGGCTCGGAGGTGCCGACATCAGCGCATGCGAGCCACATTGGACACCCCGCACGACTTCCGGCCACACTGAATGCACCCTTTAGTGATTTAGAGCTTAACAAGCCAGACCAATCTTCTTCCATTAGGGAAGATATTGTTGAACAACAGGAGCTAGAGCATAACTCCGTACCCCATGACCGAGCTCGCGGAGTTAATAGCTCAGCCGCAGCTCAACTTAAACCCGTGGGGAAGCGGGGCAAGCGAGGTAATAGAGGGAAAGTAGACAAGGACGGTGGAGAAACAACTGATATCACTGCGACTGAAATGCATGTCTCTGCCACCAACCATGGTAGAAAGGGCGTCCCGGGCAAGGGGTGGAGGCAGACTGCCTTCACTGAACCAATTGATACTTCTCCAACCGCCAACAAGTCAAAGCTAAAGGCTAGAAAGTCTCGAGCCCAGAGAGAGAACCTGAATGGATGGGCAACCGAAGAGGCCACTGATATTCAGGAACTTGGTGACTTTGACTTCCAAAGTAATCTATCCAAGTTCGACAAACGAAGAGTGTTTGATGAAATAAGAAATGACGATATGACCCCCCTTGAAGATCGCTTAGCAAGTTTTAATAGGCGGCCTAAACCTGGGACAAATGGAGGAAAGAACCTTCACTATACAGAAAATGTGCTGGACTCTACAACTCAGCAGCATACTTCCCAATGGGATAGTGAAGCTGGATTAACGGACGATGAGTACACAGGCAATGGCCGGACATCAAGTCGCAACCGTTCTATGCCATCGCGGAAGGGTAGTGGCGTGATAGCGTCCACCCCGTCTTCCGCTCAATTCACCATCCTGGGCCGCCCGCATCTCTCGTCTGCCCGTACTGCCAGCCCGCAGCCAATCAAAGTCATGAAACATTCCGCATCCTCCATGACAGGGTCATCAAGTCCATCAGGCGGCGCGCTCCACATGATAACTACCGGAAGAAAATGCCCAAGCATCAGCCCTCTTCAAATGGTGGAGATAGAACAAATAGCTGTCTCAGAGCTTGGTCTTAGTGAAGACATCGTCACAGAAAATGCTGGTAGAGGCATTGCTGAAGGAGCGATCTCCCTCGCAACAGGGCTGCGTGTGCCATCAATAATCGTAGTTTTTGTGGGAAACCATCGCACTGGTGCACGCACCGTCGCTTCTGCTCGCCACCTACGCAACCGTGGTTATCGTGTTTCGCTGTGTGTGCTGGGTAATGGTCGTGATGGTGAATTTACCGATGGGTTCCAGAAGCAAATTGACATATTCCAAAAAGCAGGAGGCAATGTCATGCGATGGGAGGATCTTTCCGCTCGGCTCTCGATGGGTGATTTCAAACCCAAACTTATCATCGATGCGCTTTTTGGTATGCATGTTGCATTCGAAGATTTGCGTACCGATGACCAAGCAACTGCCTTTGAAATTATTTCCTGGGTCAATCGAAGCAAGATTGATGTTCTATCCGTCGATGTTCCTTCTGGCCTATCTGCAACAACGGGTAAGTTGAATACCCCTCTCTCATATACTCTTGCTTATATCGATTCCATACTAATACCACGTAGGTGAAGCAACTGTCTCTCAGGGGTCCCAACTCGCAGTATCTTCCCAATTTGTCATCTGTCTTGGTGCACCTAAGACAGGTTTAGTGACTGCTTTATCTTCACGAGGAGGAGAGTCCTGGCAAATCGCGGTTGCGGATGTGGGAATCAGTCCTGTTGCATGGAGAAAATATGGAACCCGTCGTCGTCACGGAGTCGAGTTTGGCAGCGCCTGGGTAGTACCTCTGAGATTCCAGCTTTCCACTCCTTGACTCACAGGGTGTTATTATTCCTTTTACCTGTGTCTATTTTTCTCCTCCCTTTTTTTCTATTTTCCTAGGCATTGTGGGTGGAACGGCTATGGCTTGGTGCTTAAAGGTTTTTATTGTGGTCGGTCACCGGGAATATGGCGTCTTCCTTGTCTTCACAATGCAATTATGGGCCAGAAAAAGCACGTTTGCTTGCCACTGTTTTTCAGTATAACATACGAAACTATCCTTTATTACGTTACCCCTTTTCCGTGACGCCTTTAGTCCACAACCTTTATCTCATGAGGCTCTTTATTTGGTGTATCATATTGTATTAGCCTTTATCCTCACTGCTTCGAGAATCGGAGAAATTCTGAATATTTAATATACCCAAGTTCTTTCATTTTTTTTGGAGAACTTCGTCTATTACCAAAGGCTTTGTTGTCTATCGGAACAAGGCCTATTGAGATTATGGTTACTGATTCCAGACAAACTCCACAGTATATAAACATGGCCAGTGGCATATCAAATGGAGTTATGGTTGCTCTCTCCTTAATATTCTCATTCAGCCCATCCATCAAAAAGGGGTAAACAACTGTTGGATTCTTATACATCCTGAACCTCGAGTGCATATTCAAGCATCTACATACGGAAACCATGGCGTACAACCAGCCTGAACTCGACTTGGACAACTTCTATGGCGCTGGAAGGCCCGTAGACGACGCTGGCCGATCTATCAATGTCATGATCAAGGGCCACGTTGGTGAGGAGCTACAGATGATCGTTCTGAGACGGCGCCTTGCTGGACCGTTGGTACTATCTCAATGCAACGACCTTGAGCGTCTCGGTTCTCCTACCTCCATACGTCCTGCGCAGGAAGGGAGGGCAGATACCTTCAGATACCATCTGCTACCGTCACATACAGAGCACTTTCCAATTGACAACCACTACAACCTCGAGCGGGATTACTTCAGGAATATGTGTCCAGATATAGCCAGGCGGTTTACGATCTATGGCAAGATAGGGAGAGGGAGTAAGTGCAGAGAAGTAGCCCAAACTCATTTTTCCATTTATTTAGCTAATTATGTTTCTAGCTTTCGGTCGAATATATGCCGCCAGGGAGATCAATCGACCAGCAGCGGCCACGGGCTTTAGATTTTCCACGGGTTGTGACTGGGATAGTTATGAGTACCAAAGGGCCAGCATGGCTGCGTTGATAGAACCTAGTGATCCGAGGGCAAGGGCCTATGCACCTAAACCGCCACGTCAATTCGCTATCAAAATGGAACTGCAATGCCCATTATCGATACACGGGTTCACTAGGGCTCAAACGTGTGAATATCGAGAAGTTTATACTGGAGAGCAGCGTTTCCTGCCAGTGGAAGCAGTTGTTCTTGAGCTCCTCACGGAATGCGAGAGATTCCCAAAGATCGATTCTGTGTATATCCATAAGGAGTTTGCGTCAATAGTCATGTCCGCTAACAGCCTGGATGATAATCCTTTAAGAGAAACGCTGTTACTTGAGCCGGGGACCATTCCGACACAACATTTCCCTGGGTATAACGGAGAACAGTTGACACATTTGAAACAGACAAGAGTCACCGAGATCCAAGCTTGTAAGATTGCCTCTAATATTCTCGAGGCACTTGTTTACCTTATGGATATGAAGATGTTGCATGGAGACTTAAGCCATCGAAATTACCTGGTGGATAAGAATCTTAACGTATGTTTGATATCGCTCGCTTATCCCCCATTGCCGTTGAATGCTGTGCTAACTCCCTAGTACAGACCCAGCTTATTGACTTCGGGGCGGTGTACGTGTCTGAAAACAATGGATGGGAAGCGGAACGGTATGGCTATATCGAGGCATTCGAATACTTTGTTAACCCAGAAATAGCCTTGCAGCTTGCAACAGATGATCTCCAGAACCCGATACACACCATTGCAGACCGCCATATACCCTTAAGCCACGACCGGCGAGTACAATACCTCTGGAAATTTGGAGTTCTGGTCTATGATCTGCTTCACGGGTATTCTCCCTGGGAAACACCAGAACCCCAAGCAAACAACGGGGACATCAAGACGCTGTATGCGTGGGATGATTATGACGAAGAGAAGTTCCTTTATCTCTACGACAGAAGGTTGCGAATAATGAACGAGGAGTTGCCAATAGACGAACGGCTATCGCAAGATTGCGTGGACGCACTAAGGCATTTGCTAGCGAGGGATGTGTCTGACCGTATGGATATGGCTGAGTTGCAGAGGCTACCTTGGTTCCAGGGGCAATGGGTCGACCGTGCTTCAGAAATGCAGAGACCACCAAGAAAAGAGCCATGAGAGCAGAATAATGTTATAAAGTGGGATATACACCGTTAATTACTACGATGCGCAACCCACAAGGAAAAATGGGGTGGTGCTTGTGATCTGGGAAATTATATCCCCGAAATCCAATATTGAAACCATCCGTGCGTGGAGTTGTATATCCAAGAGTGGGATTTCCGAGGTTGCCGTTCCGGAAGTTTGTTCTGGTCCTGTGTAGATTCCTCTGATAGTTGATCACCAAGAATCGAAATTTCCGAAGCCTCCGCGTCCTGCATTCTTGATCTTCTTACGCGCATGTTCTGACTCGAGTTCATCTTCATCAACAAATCCGACGATCTCATCCTCATTTCCACTGGAGGCCGCAGCTGAGGCCTTCAAATATTTACCAACTCCAGATACATTGCCTGAAGCGCTGCCGCTCTCGTTTGAGCCATATCCACGTAGTCTCTTGCCGGTCCATGTAACTTGGTCATCATCTCCCTTATCCTTGGTATCACTGCTTGCCCCGGATACTGATTGCTGAGCATTTTCCTCTTTTCGTTTCTTATTGAGAAATTCTTCAAATGGGTCCACAAATACCACTACATCAAGCATGGTAATAGCAGGAGTAGGCCTGTTTGTGCTGGAGTCCACTGGTGCTACTTCCATTGCATCTAGTGTTGGCGAGGATGGCGAAGGGTCATCAATTAGATGGCCGAAGATAGTGTGCTTCCCGTTCAGATGAGGGACGGCACGATAAGCGAAGAAACTAATAAACGTTAGTAATTGGAGATATACCCCGGCAATATATATCCTAGGTAGGTAGGATTTACTTACAATTGACTGCTGTTGGTATCCTTTCCTTTATTCGCCATACTGAGTGTTCCTCTAGAATCATGCTTAAAAGGCCCGATAACCTCATCTGCGAAACTTTTGCCCCAAATACTCTCCCCACCTTTGCCAGTTCCAGTTGGATCACCACCTTGAATCATGAAGCCTTTAATGTTCCGGTGAAAGGTAACACCCTTATAGTAGCCCTTCTTAGCTAACTGAATGAAATTCCACACGGCTTTCGGTGCATGTTCTGTGTGCAGTTCAATGTTAAGATCACCCAGATTGGTAACTATCCGTGCATAGCCCTTGATTTTTACTCGGCCACATTTCAGCATGTATTCTTCATCTGTCATTATTGACAAATCCGCAGCGGTATGCGGTGTTAGACCTGTGCTGGTGAAAGAGGCAGCAGCTAAACCAGTAGTGTGTCTTGCTGCATTAAATGGTACAGCTTTTCCACTTTGGCTGGTAGTCAAACTCTTCTTGACCGACAAATTTTCTTTTTGCCTCTGGCTCAGCGCATCCGCTGATGTTGCCTTTTGTTCTCTTTCAGCCCTCGCCTTAGCTACAGCCTCCTTCGCTCGTAGAATCTTTGCCGAACTGCCCATGGCGTTAAGGTTGATGCCCTGGCCATCATTTCCACTTGTAGTATTATTTTCTCCGTCATTCAGGTACTTAAAGGTGTTGAGATCTCGGGCGTTCACATTATGTGGATCTTGTAATGTGATTATATCTTTCCTGCCGAATTCTTCGTCATTCACTAGATCTCGCCACATTTTAGGTTTGATGTTGAGCTTTTGCACGGTATCCCAGGCAAATACATTCCCCGTATTTCCTAGCGCGACTATATGTGTGTTGTCCGTGAATACTTTATATGTGACAGGATCAACATATTCGCCCGACTCGTTCTTTGCGAAGTGTAGCTTGATGAGATCCGAGTTCTTCATCGGAGCACCGTTCACCGGGTTGATGCCGTTCTTCTTGATCCATGGTAGGATGTGTGTCAGATCGAATATAATGCCATCGGATGTGCATACAGGGTGGGAAAATGGCTGGAGTGATAGAGAGCAAAAGTTGAAGGGTAGGCGTTTAAAAGACGCATGAGATCCGCCAGTTTTCTGTCGCGCAGCACCAGCACCGACACTGGCAGAAAATGCATCCTCCGAGGCCCATTCTGAGTGAGTGATCTATGAGATATTCGCGTCAGTTTCGATTCGGCGGAGGTAAGAGTTGAGCTGATATCCAAGTCACGTACATAGAGCTTATCAGTACCTAGAAGCTAGAGTTAGTGATTGTCGTCGATGATAGCTATTGAGTTATCACAGTGTTGGACATACCTTTACCCATGTTAGCTTCTGTTCTGACTGTTGCCAGTTAAGTGTTCGAACTTGGGTTGTGATGAGCTTGAAGAGCTTTACATACATAGGATCAATTTGGAGCTCGAACGAACTTTCGAGGCAGATGATTTGCGGATTTAAGTAAAATATGGTTGGTTAGCTGAAATGGTAAGTGGAGCTGACTGTGAACCAATAATATTAGTTATCGCTAATTACAATTTCTCAATTTCCTTAGTCAGCTAGTACATGAGATTTTATTGGCTTATTTTTAATTTAACTACCATCGAGAAACCACAAAAAAGGGTCCTGCGATCGTTTCCTCACAATGTCTGATGACCAGATTGTAGCCGTTAAATCTAGTCGGCTCTCTCTGTCTAGAGAAAAGGCAACCAGGTGAGCAGCGTCAATTGGCAGTCCACGTAAGTTCACTTTCTGGGTCGTTGGGCAGGACTCTGAGTTGCCTGTGATACAATGGCGGTTCTTTGCCCCATATAGCCTACGTTCTACTTTAATGAAACCCTAAAGGTAACGAATATAATCATGAGGTGGGAGGGGTATTGTAGATAAGGGATCGGCCTTATCTCCTTGCAAGCCTGCGCCATATACATAGCTAAGGGTTGCGCGCAGAGATAAGAATAGACTTGGTCCAAGTCCCAGAGCCTTTCGTACAAGCAAAAAGAAAAAGAGAAGGAGACGAATAGTAGGTCCATTATTGGGCGTCAAATATTTGCCCTACGTTGAACCAGCTTTATACCAGTGAACACTTAAAGTTAATGAATAAATTAAATGGTTTAATTTGCCAATCACAGCTTTGGGACTCCAGTTTATGACGGCAGCCCCACTAGCTAATTTGGATTATGTAATACGCCAAGTGGATGTTTTAATGCGGCTGAAAAAGAACACCTTTCGAGTATCAACAGACCTCTTCAGATGCTCTACAGTATTTCCATGCTGCTCCTCTATTCGAAACCAATACCACTAACACCCAGAAGAGGCCTGTGTGTTTTCATCCCTTGTTTCCTTGATGCAATCAATAACCACTTGTAAAAAACATGCAGCCAAGGAGAGTAAGCCCCTGCGACCACAAAATATGCTCGTCTCAAGGCTGGCCCATCGCTGTACTGCCTGAGCAAGGTTAAGGCTGATATTTGACGATGCAAGGCGCCAACCGGGCAATTTGAGATGTTTTTGGATGCCTTGCAGGGAGCTCTGGTTATCTTAATGGTGTCCTCGAGCTCCCGGCAGCAATCTAACCGAAAGCGCCAATCAAGTCAAGATGCAGGCTGTGCTTCCCCGGACTTGAGAAAGTGTCTGCCTAGAGCCGCGTACGATTGTCTGCCACTCACCAGGGTCGAGCATGCCCCATGTTACTAACGAGCCACTCAGCTGAGCAAGGATAACCCCATCCCTTGTTGCCAGCCACACAGCCTCAAAGCTCAGCCAACATGTCCACCAACATCCGAGGGCTAACATAACTAACTGACCAGAGCCCAGAGACGAAAAAAAATCATTTTTAGAAGACTGCAGACCGTGCACCTCGAAATTTCCAAGGCAGTCATGGCTCGGAATAACTAATCATGACTATGAATAGTTGGTGACAATATTATTATGATCGGCCGTCTCCAGAGGAACTCCCCAATATTAGTGGTCAAGCATGCTTACAAACAGTGCATAACATGCTCCAACCAATTACTATTAATATCAGCACATCCATGGAGGACAACCAAGAGTGTTTGAGAATGGGCGCTTCGAGGAGGGGGGTAGGCAACGTTTCCTCGTTATATTAACTAGCTATCACGCCAGACTCTTGTCGCCTTTCTCTCTCATCAACGCCCGATGGGTGCTTTCTTCCATTTCTTTGGGTTTCTTTTTCCCCGGGCGCCGTCAGCCAACCATAGGTTCTTTTGACTTTTGGAAGCCTTACGCCTGCATGGATGTTGATGGTGTGAAGGAGCCCCGAAAAACAAAAGCGAGAGAAGAGGCGCAGAGACGCTCCCTTCACACTACAAAGGAACCCTCATATCTCTTGCCCAAGATAAATACTAGCTCGTCTGGACCTATTACGCCGCAATATTTTGATACCCACACCAAACATCAATCAGCGGCATAGCTTTAACTAAAGGCGTGGCCAGTTGTGGATTACGCACGGCCTCTGTTGTTGCCTGGCTTGCTCATGAGCATCCCAAAACCAAACTCGTCTTTCCCACACAGCACAGTAGGTTGACGCTGAGGCAGCTACAAGGTATTTTCCCTCTTACTCCCTTATTACATATCCTTTAGTACATGTTACTTTTGGCCTAGAAAATGTGCTGATAGCCAATAGATTTAGCCGGCCCAGTAGATTGTTACAAGTCCTCTATCTTACCATGGATATGCATCACAGAATACATAATGGGGGTAATATCTCTCCACACCAGAGCTTGGAAGATATGCCAATGCCTGGTCACTTCCCCGATACTCCAGATATCGACGATTTTGAAGATCTCGACACCCGCTTCAGCAGGATTAGTCTTGACAGTAGCCTCTCCAGAGGGCCCCAACTTAATGAGAGCACATACGAGGGATGGACACTGTATCGTGGAGAGCCGAAAACGCCTGGTGGTGAGAGAACATGGGCCACTGCCACCATCTGCAAGATGCCTCTTCCCCAGGCAGAATTGATCGACCTGGTTCATAAACAAAAGCGCCAGTCCGTCACAGAAGCATATAATGAGCTGACCCTGGTCAAGCGGCAACACATTGATAACCTAATCGAGCAGAGGAAGCAAGAGTGCAATGATCCAAAGTACGACTGGATCTGCGTTTATATCAATTCCGCCACTCGAGATGTGCGATCTACTTTTGGTCCAAAGAAGGCTTTGACGATATCAATAGCTATTGTTCTCTGCAAGAAGCTAAAGCCAGAAATACTTAGAGCCCGTCGTGCTGCACAAATTATAAAGGAGAAAAAGGCCAGGGATACTGCTAGGCATGAGAAAAACATGGTGCATGCGGAGTGTGCTGATCCACTCCGCAGGCCTTTTCATCCATCTGGTCTTGGATTAAACCTTTCTGATGCCCAGCAACTTCCGAATTCTCAGAAACGTCCACCCGCAAACACCCAACATAACCTTCCCCTTCACTCGCAGAGCAAACCTACCCCTTACCAACACCAGCCTCAGCCCCCACCATATCTTCCACAGCGACATCCTGAGGACCATCCACACCCGCATCATGGGCAGCACTTATTTAACCCTCCTGATCCCCATAACCCTGTACCACCACAAGGACAGAGTCATCTTACCCACGCCCCTCTAACAAACCATGAACTTCGAATGATGGGAAAAATTCCTTTAAATGGAGATTTACATCCTGAACATGGACAAGAAGTTACCCCTGAGGAGTTCGGGCCTCCCCGTTATCCACGCCAGATGATGCAGCAGGACATACCACACGTTACTCCAGGGCACCACCAAGAACGGAAGATACTTCCTGAAATGATTCAGATTCCACCACCCCCTATTGGACCGCACAAATCACAACCCCGCCTTCTACCAGCTCCACACGATGCTCATCCAGATCCTCGATATCACGAACTTCATCCGGGTGCCCAAGATTTAAATGAAGCTCCTATGCCACCCCGTCAACGCCATCCTGGGTATATGGAGGAGCCACACAGTGCTCAAGCTTATAACCAGGCACTCTTTGATCCAAACCAGCATCATCCTGGTAATGGAAATGTATATAAAGACGCTCGAATGGTGAATCAGGAACCTCAATCAACTCATCCTCAACGCTCTCGACGTCGAGCTGAAGGAGTACCCAATGTTCAAATGCAAATGCCAACTCAGGACTACCAGCATCATAACCAGCGCCGTGCTAGACAGGAACAGCCATCAGCGGCTACCCATGAGCTGAAACAGCCTCACAACAAACAGCACAAGAAAAAGAAACCCCCTCCAAAGATTGTCAATTCAGAAAGAGCCAGGAGGGAGCAGGAGATTGTGGAAAAATGGCTGGAAGAAGATAGTGAACCTTCGGACTATGATTCATATCTCTTTGACCCAGAAATTGCAAGCTCCGTCACAGATGATTCTTTCTCTTTTGGAGAATATGATAACTGTGATTATCCTCCTGACGACGATACCCGTCGTCATTGTTCCAATAAGAACCGGAGGAACCAAAGCCGTGAGAAGAGCAAAAGCGGTGACCGTAACGGCCATCCAAAGCATCGTCACTCTCTTGGGTATCGCATTCACGTCCGCCCGTCCGAAAAATCCTCTTATCCTATCGAGCTACCCAAGCCCAGGGGATCGCAATATCCCTCAGGGTCCGTTGAACTTCAACCATTCAGCAGCACACATAAACGTCCTGGAAAACTAGCTCGGTCTGAGACCGTCTCTTATCCCTCCAGACGTCACAAGGTATACCCTTACGAAAGAGACCAACGAAAACCTAGCCTTGATCGCCTTTCTCCCTCTGAGCTAGCCTGGGGACTGGAACTGCGAGAGAAAGAGCGGGCTCATCAACGATACTTGGAGAGCCAGTTGTCGATTGAGAGAGAAGTTGAGGCTCGCCTTCTGGCTGAAAGCTTGGCTAGGGGTAGTCCCGACCAGGCACAGACTACTCAGCTTGAAGGATACACTCCCCAACGTGTACTGGATACGTATGAGAAGTATGATCGAATGAAACGGCTTGATGGCAATCGGAGACAGTCATACATGGAACAGCAGCACCCAAGGGATAATCCAAAAGATTACTTATCCCATGAGCGCCCCTTCAGAAGGTAGACAGCGGGAGACCTACGAAGCTTCAGATTAGTGCAAGACAGTCTTATATATATACCTATTTTGTTTCATTTGTATGCTATTATTATCGATCAGTGCGAATCACCGGCGGGTATATTGAATACATTCAGAGATAATCTTATCATTAAAGTCATATCTGGTCTACACATGGTAATATAGAAAGCATAATGTACATGCTGTACTAAACGTACTGGGCTATTGAATCAAAATCATCTTCCACATCCGAATGGTTCCCATCTACAACAACTCTAGGCTTCCTTCCGCTATTAATATCGCTGATACTTGAGAGGTTCTGATAGA